ATTGTCGCCATTGTGCCCCACTGTCACCAGCGATCTCTGCTGTCCCCAACTGTCCCTGATGTCCCCAAATGTCCCCACTTGTCCCTGCTGTCCCCAACTGTCCCCAATCGTCCCTGATGTCCCCAATTGTCCCCATTAAGCCTCCCTGTTCCCATCCATCTCTGCTGTCCCCAAGCACCCCTGATGTCCCCAACTGTCCCCACTGTGTCCCAAACATCCATCCCAATGTCCCCAAGGGTCCCTGATGTCCCCAAATGTCCCCAATTGTCGCCATTGTGCCCCACTGTCACCAATCGTCCCTGCTGTCCCCAACCATCCCCACTGTCCCCAAATGTCCCAAATCGTCCCCAACTATCTCTACTGTCCCCAAATGTCCCCATCCATCCCAATGTCCCCAATGGTCCCTGATGTCCCCAAACATCCCCCATTGTCCCAATTCAGCCTCCCTGTCCCCATCCATCTCTGCTGTCCCCACTGTCCTCAACTGTCCCCAATCGTCCCCGCTGTCCCCAACTGTCTCCATCCATCCCGATGTCCCCAATCGTCCATGCTGTCCCCAACTATCTCTACTGTCCCCAAATCTCCCTAGTTGTCCCCACAGTGTCCCACTGTCCCCATCCACCCTGATGTCCCCAAATGTCCCCACTGTGCCCCACCGTCCCCATACATCCCAATGTCCCCAATGATCCCTGATGTCCCCAAACATCCCCCATTGTCCCAATTCAGCCTCCCTGTCCCCATCCATCTCTGTTGTCCCCACTGTCCTCAACTGTCCCCAAGCATCCCTGATGTCCCCAAATGTCCCCAACTGTCCCCAATCATCCCCATCCATCCCTGATGTCCCCAACTGCCCCCATCCATCCCTGATGTCCCCAAACATCCCCCCACCATGCCCCACCATCCCCAACCATCCTTGGTGTCCCCAACTGTCCCCACTGATGTCCAGCTGTCCCAAACCACCCCCACTGTCCCCAACTGTCCCTATTGTCCCCCCTGTCCCCACCACCCCCAACCATCCCTCTAATTCCCAACTGTCCCCAACCATCCCTGTTGTCCCCAAGTGTCCCCAAGGTGGGCAGGAGCGGGGAGGGGACACCAAACCCCCCCCATCAGGGTGACGCAAGACCCCAGGGTAGAGCTCCCCACCCACTGCGAGGACTTTCCGGAGGTGGCCGAGGCAGGGTGGGGACAGGGACAGGACACCCGCTGTGACACTCATTGCGTCACCGGGGAGCTGGAAAAAAAAATCTGCCGAGACGGCAAAAATCTTGCCCAACATCCACCCAAAAAAGGAGAAGCAACGGCCTGAGGTCTTGCTCAAGTCTTGAGGAGCTTCGGTATTTATTGGGGACGGTGACACCAAGGGGGATGGTGACACCGAGGGGGACGGTGACGGACGGCCAACCCCCCAGGATTGGGGTGGGCTTGAGTTTTGGGGGCTCAACACCATCTTGGAGCTTGTGGGGTGGTTGGAGATGTGGGGCTGGGAGGGGTTGGTGGGGCAGGAGAACATCAGGAGAAGGTCTTCTCGGACCAAGAAGGCCACCAAGGAAGCCACAAGGAGGTCCCCAGGGTCAGGTGGGCACAAAAGTTCCTCAGGTGGCCACCACATGGAGGCACCATCTTCTCCATGGGGCAGGAGATGGAAATAGGGTCCATGGTTGGGTTGGAGAGGCAGGAGAACATCAGGACAACGTCATCTCCTCCCAAGAAGGCCACCAAGGAAGCCCCAAGGAGGTCCCCAGGGGGAGGTGGGCACAAAACCACCCCAGGTGGCCACCATGTGGGGCAAATGCTAGGGAAAGGGGGTGATGGAGGCACCTTCTTCTCTCCCTGGGGCAGGAGATGGAAATAGGGTCCATGATGCTAGGGAAAGGGGGTGATGGAGGCACCTTCTTCTCTCCCTGGGGCAGGAGATGGAAATAGGGTCCATGGTTGGGTTGGAGAGGCAGGAGAACATCAGGACAACGTCATCTCCTCCCAAGAAGGCCACCAAGGAAGCCAGGAAGATGTCCCCAGGGGGAGGTGGGCACGAAACCACCCCAGGTGGCCACCATGTGGGGCGACTGGTGGGGAAAGGGGGTGATGGAGGCATCTTCTTCTCTCTATGGGGCTTGGTAGGACCTCCAGAAGAAGGTGGTGGCCTCAGGTGACATTCCAGCCCTGGAGCCACCTGGTTCCTGGTCAGATGGTGGTGCTGACGCTTTGATCATCCACGGTGGACTTGGTCTTCATCCTGCTGTCCCCCATGGTGCTGGTGGGGTCATCGCTCAGCACCCCCCGGAGAACGGCTTTCCAAGAACGTTGGAACTTGTCTTTGAAGTCTTGGCCCATGATGACGTAAATGATGGGGTTGATGCAACTGTTGATGTAAGCGACGCCGGCCACGATGGGGTCAGCTTCCACGGCACCCTTGAACAAGGCGCTGGATGGTTGGGTAGAAGCCAAGATCAACCCAACGACGTGGTAGGGCAACCAACAGGCGAAGAAGCTGACGATGACCACCAAGATGAGCTTGATGGCTTTCCGAGAGCGGGCAAAACCTTTGCTGTGGACACGAGCCAGGAGAAGACCGTAGCAAGCCGTGATGACCACGAAAGGAACCAAAAAACCAAAAACGAAGCGGGTGACGGCCGTCAGGAGCTCGGTGAAACGTTGGTGATGCCCAACGGCCGTATAATCCAGGACGCAAGTGGTCTTCTCGGAGAAGACGTCGAAACGGGTGGTGCGGAAGATGAAGGATGGAAGAGTGAGGAGCCCGGCGAGGAACCAAGCAGCCGCACAAGCCCCTCGGGCCAAGCCGAGGGTTCGGTGGTTTTGACACCAAACGGGTCGGGTCACCATGGCGCAGCGATCGGCGCTGATGGCCGTCAAGAGGAGGACGCTGGCGAACATGTTGAGGATGGTGAGGGAAGGGAGAAGCTTACAAGCGAAGCCACCCAACGGCCAGTGGTGGTCACGGGCCAGCGGAAGGGCCAAGAAGGGAAGGGCCAAGCAGCAGAGGAGGTCGGCCATGGAGAGGTTGAGGAACCAAACGCCGTTGACCGTGCGGCGGAGCTCGAAGGCCGTCACCCAGATGACGGCTCCGTTGCCCAAGACGCCCAAGAGGAAGATGAGGGCGTAGAGGGCCAGGATGGCGCGGTAGCTGTGAGGGACGTCGTAGTCATCGAAGCCGTCGATGGAGTAGTCGCCCCAGTCGTTGGAGTAGTTGAAGGTGTAGTTGGACATGGAGAAGTCCATCGTCCACCAGCTCCCAACCTAGAAACCACGCTCCGTTAGACCGTCAGCCAACGGTTTGGGGTGGAGGGACCTTCAAAGATCATCCAGTCCGACCTGGGAAGGACATCTTCCACCAGATGAGGTTCCTCAAAACCCCCTCTACACCATCACCCAAGGGTTTGGGGTCAAGGGACCTTCAAAGATCATCCAGTCCATCTCATCAGGGGTAGGAACATCTTCCATGAGATAATGTTCCTCAAAGCCCCATCCATAGAGTCATGGAAGGGTTAGGGTTGGAAGGACCTTCAAAGAACATCCAAGTCCAACTCCCTGCCATGGTCAAGGACATCTTCCACCAGATGAGGTTCCTCAAAACCCCCTCTACACCATCACCCAAGGGTTTGGGGTCAAGGGACCTTCAAAGATCATCCAGTCCAAGCCCATCATGGGTAGGAACATCTTCTACTAGATGATGTTCCTCAAAACCCCATCCATAGAATCATGGAAAGGTTTGGGTTGGAAGAACCTTCAAAGATCACCCAAGTCCAACTCCCTGCCATGGTCAAGGACATCTTCCACCAGATGAGGTTCCTCAAAGCCCCGTCTACACCATCACCCAACGGTTTGGCGTCAAGGGACCTTCTCCCCACCCTCATCACTAAAAAAAAATCTCTTCTCCGTGTCCATCATCATCATCTCTCCCTCCACCTCACGGAAGAGGCAGAACCTCCAAACCCAACCCAACGAGATGTTCCTCAAGAACCTGGGGTGCAAACACCCCAAACTCCTCGACTTCACGGTGTCCCACCC